CTGAACTCTGGGCCTGGGCGCTGTCCCTCAGCTCTTCAGCTCAAGGCTAGCGCTCTACCACTTGAGCCACAGCGCCACTTCCAGCTTTTTCCTTTTTGCTTATGTGGTGCTAAGGAATCGAACCCAGGACCTCAGGCATGCAAGGCAAGCACTCTACCACTGAGCCACCTTCCCAGCCCTGAGATTTTATTTTTATAGCAAGCAATGCATAATTTCTTTTTAAGTGGAGGATCTGGATGTGGTTGGACAAGTTTTCCCAGAACCAGTTTGACCTGTTAGAAGAAGTAGAGTGTGCGGAACAGAGACTGCAAAGCCTACCCCTGGCCTCACCTTGGTGGGCAGAAATTTCTTTCCCCTTCTATTCTATAGAAACCCACCCATTCATTGGTCAGGCCTATAATTGTACTTTCTTCTGTGGAATTGGGTAAGCACGTTTGTACAGTGTGTTTTGGTACCTGACTTTTTACATTTGAGATTCACCCACGTCATACAAGATCTGGCAGCTGTCCCTGAGCTTTTCTTCATGACATCCAGCCTTGCGTTCCATGAACATTGTATGCCTCTCCATTTCCTTGAAGATCCTTACATTTTCCCTCCATTACTGCGTTCAAGTTTTTACCAGAGAGATCCTGCACATCTCTTGTTGGATGTCTCCCGGTGCACAACTCACAATAACAAGGGATTCTTCAAAACATCTGTTCTCCAATGACGGGTTGTTTTCCACACAAGCATTGGCACATCTTTTTCTTGTCCAGACCACATAAGCCCAGGCCGTGCTGGTGTTCAGAGGTAGGTGGATGGCAGAGAGAGCCCCATGTCAGACCAGTGAAAGCTGGGCATGGTGGCACACAGCGGACAGACCAGGGGGATAGTGGCCCATATCTCCCACACACACCCCCCAAAAAAACCCAGTTGGTTCAAATGATAGAGAACGTGTTTGCCGAGATGTCAAGGCCCTGTTAGTACATCATGGTGGTGTGAGGATGAGGAGATTTTAGGCTTTGCATTGCCCTTTTGATTTCTCCTCCTTATCCAGCTCTTTATTTGCCAGTCCTGGGGCTTGAACTCGGGGCCTGGGCACTGTCCCTGAGCTTCTTTTGCTCAAGGCTAGCACTCTACCACTTGAGCCACAGCCCCACTTCCAGCCTTATCTGAGAAGTTTATTGGGGATAAGCGGGTCTCACAGAGTTCCCTTTCCAGACTGGCTTCAAACCACGATCCTCACATCTCAGCCTCCTGAGTAGGATGACATAGGTGTGAGACACCCGCGCCCGGCTCATCCAGCCCTTTAAAACTCTCCAGACCATTCCTAGCCCACACACACAAAGAGGCCACAGGGATGCCTGCATCTGTGGATTACCTTCCGCTGACCCTAGAACACAGAAGTCAAACTGATGGATCATTGAGCAATGCCCAGGGCTGCTTCTCACCAGAACCAAAAACTCCGGGCAACGCCCCCCTCCCCACCACCCTCCCAACCCCCACGGACCTCTGTGTCTGCGGGGTGAGCTAGGGGCTGAGCTGCTTCCCGCAATGTGCGGTTGGAGAGTGGAAGGTCCCACGGTGCTTAGAGACCCTCTGGGCGAGGGTGGTAAATGAGTGCAGGTGGGGAGGGGTGGTCTTGGCGCACCTGCTGCCCTGGGGCCTGCGCCACCTGCCCAGGGAAGGGCGGCCCCTGCTGGACACCATGGGCACAGCAAGGCCTGAGGCGTCAAGCTGAAGAGCTGAGGGACAGCGCCCAGGCCCAGAGTTCAAGCCCCACCACTGACCAAAAACACCACATTCAGGGGACCCGTGCCTACCTCGCAGGCCGCCCTGGCTCTGAGGGTGGATGTGGGTGGATAAAGACCCCGGATCCCAGGGAAGGACGATTCTGAGGCTTTGATCTCTGCTCCCCCCCCCGTCCCCCCC